AAAGGAATGTGGCCTCGCATCCGATGCAGCTCCATTTCTTCTTGCTTTTTCTTGGTCATTGACTGCACTGACTGCATCTGATCAACCTCCATCGGTCGTTGGCCATCATCCACATCCATGGGTCGAACCTCAGTTCTTCCAAAGGTTACTTTCTTTCGCTTTCCAGCATCACCTTGCAGGTAGATCCAAGGACATCCAGCCCAGGATACTCCATATCCCATGACTCCTTTCTTCTCGTGTCGCAGCGAAATCTCTCTTCGAGTGAACTTCACTTCCCAACCAGTATTCACCATCTGCTCGGTGCTCAAGATGTTGTGAGCCACATCTGCTACAACTCCAGTCACACACACCGATGTCAAACCAAGATACTGCTTTCCTTCATACATAGGCAGCAAGGCTCGGATGCGAACTCGCTCGAAGACATTCACCGGGGTATCGTTGGCTGCTGAGTACCTCTCATTAGGTCCCAACGCCTTCCGATCCAAAATCTGGAACTCATCCAAGTATCTTTTCGCAATCACAGTCACCGATGCTCCTGAGTCAATCAACCACCATTTGCTTGCATCATCCTTTTCCATGCTTTTGACTTGATTCATCGGAGGTTTCATCAAAGACCGAACTGACTTAGATGGCAACATCTGAGATAAATCGGTAGAGATCCGATGCTCCAACTCGGCAATCCGGACTCTCGTCTCAACTTCCCATGACCAATCTATCTCATCAGTACTCCGGGGAATCCACTCTTTTCTCACTTCATCGAGCAATCCTTCCAGAGGTTGCAACACAGATTCCACTCGGGCCTCTGACTCAGGTTCATTCCATTCACCTCCAGTTCGCTGGTAGTCACTCGACTCACCCTCTTGGGAGACTTCAGCAACTGTCTTCCCCTTTCCTTTGCCTTTTCCTTTGGGCTTTCCCTTTTCGGGCTTCTTCTTGGGATCTCCTTTTGCCTTGGCTTTCGCCTTAGCATTGGGGGAATTGGGCTTCTTGCCTGAATCTCCCTCCTTATACCAGCAATCGCGGGCATAATGTCCCTTTCCACCACACACATAGCACTCCACATCCTTCTTGTTCTGGCTTGAAGCTCGTTTGCCAGCACCTTTGCTTGATTCGCGCTTGCCTTTCTGTTCCTTTCCTTTGCCTTTTGGTTTTCCTTCGTTGCCCTTTCCCTCATTGGGATCTCGAAAAGGTTGAAGCTTCGTGCCAGGGGCTTCTGACCACACCCTTTGTTGCACCTCAAACTTCAGAGCAACTCTTTTCAGATCTTCAAACGATTCACTATCGCCATGCAACAAGCAATGGCTTCTACACCGATCTGGCAAACTGCGCAGCAAAACCATAACCGAATCCGCTTCTTGGATCTGCAAACCACCAGCATGCACATCGGGATCAAGACTATTGAGCAGCTTGGTGTACTTGTTCAACTCATGCTCAATCTTTCGAATGATCTCCGGAATACTGGGTGCTTTCACGGTTTGATTCACCAGCTGCGACCGAAAGAACAGGCATTCAGCTCGCGACTTCAGGCAAAACTCCTTCGCCAGCAATCTCAAAGCCACAAAACCAGATTGTTGATAAGTGCTCTCACTTTCAACATATGTCTGCAAAATCAGAGAACTCTTCTCATGATTTGCAAAAGTCTGTCGCAGGATGTGCATCAGCCTCGTCGACCTCTTCTGTTGCTCCACAGTAAGTCGATCCTGTTTCAGCCGAGACTCTTCTTGAGTCTTCACCGCATGCATGAGCTCATTGGGAAACACTTCTGAACCCAAACCAACCCAACTGGTCAGCTTCTCCATCCAGGTCAAGAATCCAAGAGCTTCAGAGATGCGATCCTTCCAAGACGAAAAGTCAATGGTCGGCAAACTGGGCAACCATTTGTCCGATCGAGCAAACACATCCCTTTCCCTTTCTTGCTCCAGAGGTGGAGGTCTCAGTGGGGGACTTGGGCTCGCCATCCGAAAAAGCTGGGTCCCCTTCGCAGGAGTACCCACTGGCGATGCACCTTGACATCCCGAAGAAGAACTGGGCATGTTCTCAGGAACACCATCCTGAGGTAAGGGGGGATTCACCTGTTGCTGTTGCTGTGGCTGCTGTTGCTGATGCTGCTGTATCATCCACTGCTGATGCTGCTGCTGTTGCTGCACCATGGACGAAGTCATCGTTTGCATAAACTGCTGTTGCTGCACAACCAGTTGCTGCATCATGCTTTCCAATTCTCGCACTTGTCTCGTCAACCCTTGCACGTCGGGTGATGTTTGTGATGGTGTCACCACAGGTTGAGGAGGTCCAGTGGATAGTCCTGGTGGTAACGAAGGACTTCCTACCGCTTGCTGAGGCAAACCAGGGGGAAACGAAGGGCCTCCCATTGTCTGTTGGGGTGCTCCAGTAGCTACCCCATGAGGGCTTCTGGCGGGAGTTCGACCTCTGGGCACTGGGCCATACACAGGTTGGCTTCCTTGTGCCAAACCTTGCACCCACAGTGGGTTGGGATTTCCCAAACCCGGAAAAGGGTCTACCCTTCGCCTTGTCTCAGCATCCATGATGGGCACAGAGCTTCCACGCTCTCGTCCACCTCTTGGACTCCTCACATGAGCTCCACTGGTATGTCGTGGGGATGTATTCAACATAGTTCCTGAACTCAGGCTCCAGCCTGCAGTCTCTCCACAACGTCTTCTGGCGAAAATTCTCTCACCAACACCAGATGGTCCAGGCTCCTGAAGAACCTTAGTTCTACTCTACCAAGCACCGTATTCCTCCAAGATCGGTCACAACCAATCCAGTTCCAGACAAACCACCTTGCCCGGGCTCCAAAGTGCCTCAACAGCCGCTGAACCAACTGCTTCCAAGCCTGATGAGTCCGGATCCGCCTCCTCACAGGATAGGCTTCCCGGTACTCACTTACACGGTCCGAGTACAAGAGATTCCGGCCCACTGGCAGTCTGGGCTCCAAACCCAAACTTGCCTCCAGGCACTCACAGAGTCCTGACAGACAACCAAAGACCATACACGGGCTCGTACCACAAGGCACAAGCTCCGCTACCACGTGAAAAACCGAAGGTCCCTCTGGTACCTTTTCCCTTGAAAGCACGAACCCTGACCTCTCACACAAGTGCGGACAGCTCTCTCTTTTTCACAGTCAGAGCCACTTGAGCCATGAGCCAAAAGTCACGAAGTGCACAAACTAAACGAATTCTCTCTTGTGAGCTTAAACTCAGCTTCAAAATGAAGTTCCTACACACTGCACACTCACTTTAAATAGCGTATTGGGCAAAAACACACTCGTATGATTTCCTTGGAAATCAACGAGGCATAAACCATCGAGGATGGGATGACACGGATTCCCAATCACTCCGAAGCAAAACAAACCTATACAAGCTGATCCAAAACATGACAAAAACATCACTGATCAGCCACAATCTTCCACACCCCAAACCCCTCCACCTGCAAAGGCTCCTGGCACCAGCTCAAGTCCCTTGGAGATCCATCTGGCTAAGCCCTAATCTCCAGCTAACGATGCCTTGAAGGTCTTGGCCCGGAGACAACCAGGCCCGCACCCAAAGTTGAGTGCCTACCTGCTCTTCTTGCAAACCAGCCCACCCACTGCTTCTAAGGATCCTCTTCAGAAGTTTGCCACGATCAGAAACCTCGCATCAAGTCCATGAACCCGAAACTTTGGGACGTTTCTCTTAGACTCACAGCCCTGAGTAGGAATTTCATAAGGGTTGTGTAATCCCTTTTAGAAACGGTCATATGGGGGGTGGAACATCTTAACCTGAACTTTAATGGACCTTTTCGTCGGACAAGGTCTTATTGGCCTTGACCTTGAAGAGGACGCCAGTCAACAATAATTGTTATTAAGAAGAATAATCGCAACGGGAATGATGGGGCAAGTTCCAGCTGCAGTGATTTAGTCACTCGAATTTGGCTGAACCCTGCAGCACACCCTGCACCCCAAAACCCCAAACCAAAACCCAAAACCCCAAACTCTAAAACCCTGCAGAACGGTGGAGATGCACTTCTGACCCCCTACATTTCCAAGCCGCAAACCCTTGACCTAAGCCCCAGAACCTCAAACCTCAAAACCCAATTGCCAGCAGCCCTGTGCAGACGCTCGCGTTCTTGTGGATGAAGCTTTCTGTCGTGCAGTACTGGTTGCACGCATGTGGGTATTTTCCAAAGAAGGGAACCTTAAATAGAAGAAAATCTTCTAAAAGGATTTCCAAACTGGGGTGTCCCCATTTTCGGAAACCCCCAGGTAAGACCGTAAGACCTAACAGTTCCAACTACTCCTTCCTTAACCCGAAACCCAAAATCAAAACAGAGCTGCAGGGTTTGGAAGTTGCTTCCGGTGGGTTATTCGCAACAAGTTGAGTGTGTGTGTTTCTCTATTTGAACAGGTGTTCTTCTTGCGGATACCTTCTGAATTTCACACAATCATTGGAATTAAAAAAGTGCTCTCAGGCCTGTCACCTTCGTGCCGTGGCCGAGAAGAACGGCTGTACCATTGGGACACAAGAAAACGGCTTAGCTCCTTTACCGAACCTGACAAATTGCCACATGGTATGCTGCCCTGAAGGCATCGCAGGTCTTAGTGTCAGATTTCAGGCCCGCCGAGCTTTCCTTTTCCCAAAACTCAGACAATTTTCTTCAGATTCAGCAGCAGAGTCATACACAGCAACACTTTTTTTTTTTTTTTAGTTCAAATTGCCTTTGCCCGTCTGAAAAGAATTTTTCTCTTGCCTTGTTTTTTGTCGGAATGATCTCTCGGTTGAGTTGCAAGCTTCAGATTCTGCTTTGCGAGTACTGGTCCTCATCCCCAAGCCCGTGCGTGCAGCTCTTTCGGCAGGCTTCAAGAGTTGGGTCGAAGATGTTGTGGAGGTTGGTGTGAGACTCGTTTCAGCAGCAGTTCAAGTCGATCCTGTGGTGCTGCTGGATGACGTTGATGACGTCAGTGTTGATGACGTGGAAATTGACGTAGTGGTGCTGGAAGTTGTGCAATGTGCTGTGGGTGCTGTGGAAGTACCGCTAGTGGAGCTGCCGAGGAGGTGGTTGTGCTGGAGGTTGTGGTGGAAGTGCTGCGGGTGCTGGTGGAGGTGCTGCTGGTGGAGCTGAGCGACGAGGTGGTGGTGCCAGAGGTTGTGGTGGAGGTGCTGCGGGTGCTGGTGGAGGTGCTGCTGGTGGAAGTGCTGCTGGTGGAAGTGCTGCTGGTGGAGCTGATCGAGGAGGTGGTTGTGGTGGAGGTTGTGCTGGATGTGCTGCGGGTGCTGGTGGAGCTGACCGTGGAGGAAGTCGTTGGCTTGTCGTTGTCGTGACGGAGGTTGTTGTTGTGACGGATGTTGTTGCCGAGATACTCGTCGTGCTAGTGGAAGATGTTGTACTTGTGCTGGAGACAGAGCTGGTTGTGCTGGAAGTGGAAGTGGAAGTGCTTGTACTTGATGTAGAAGTCTTGCGTGGTCGTTCATGTTGAAGTGCGATATACCCACACATCATTTAGGACCTGCTGCCCGTTCCAACCCCCGAAGATGTACATCTGGCTCCCATCCCAGGCTGCTGAGTGATAGGCTCGCACGGAAGCTCCACTCTCCAGCACCGTCCATGCGTTTGCAGCTGCATCATACTGAAACCTTTTTACTGACTTTGATGATTTTGGATCCCTAGCAAGAATAAAAATAGTTGCTGTTTCTTAGGAATTAAAGTACCCAAAAAATCGAAAACTATTCCCAACATCCCAAGAAACAAGCTGTCAAGGTTAGAAGATCCATCGGTGCCACCCGAAGATGAACATCGAAGTAGCTGGCTGATCCCAAACTGCTGCATGACCTTCCCGCGCGGAGGGACTGGTACCGCTGGGCGACAGCTCATTCCAGGCTTCTTGGTCGTAGTCAAACTCCCATAGGTCTGACAACTGGATTGACACCGAAGAGCATCTTCTTGCTGCCGGAATCCCACACGGCCACGTGGCTCCAGCGGGCTGTGGGAGTCGCTTGAATCGACTGCTCCAACAGTTCTTCGCGGCATCGCATGCACAGATCAAGGCTTCATTTGTGTCCAAGTTCTGACCACCCGCATTGTCGTTGGAGTTCCAGACAAGTGAAGTGGCATATCGCGGTTCGGACAGGTCAGATGGACTAGATGTGCATGACATCCAAGCAGTTTTATGCTGCATTGCAGCAGTTGTAACATTCCGCCTCGTCAATGATCTGCGACTATGTGTTTCTGAACTCAGTGACTTGAGCTCTAAACGTTCAAGCATGTGCGACTAGGAGAACATCAGGTTACATGGGTCGCTCTCGATCCCAAAACAGAATGCGTAACACGTCTAGGTTGTTTACGGGAAATAAGAAGGCTTGCACCCAAAAAACCTAAACTCCCCAAAAAATATTTGTAAGCATTTGCAGATTAAAGGCATATGACACGAACACTTTGAAGTTTCGCTTCTAAGAGGCGTCTCAAAGGCTGTGCAAAAGAAGTTTTTGCAAAACTTGTTGCTTTGGACAGCTCTGTGTTTGCAAGGCTACCAAGCAACAACTCAACAGCCCCTGTCAAAATGTATTGCCACCGGGTTCCCACAATGCCTGACTCTTTGCACTCAAAGGAGTTGCAACCTTTTCCGATTGGCACAAAGCTGATGGAAGGTCCAATCCTGGCAAATCAAGACAGCTGCTAATATGCTGTGGGGTGCTGCCAAAAACCAAGGTGGCGCAACTAGCTAGCTGGTTTGCAAGTTAGGAGGACGGCTGGAATGGCCCCTGGCAGTAAGTCAGTGACAGGAATATCGGCTGTGAGTCATGTCGTACCTGATGCGGCAAGCATGCCACCTTTCTGCTCTGCACCCCTGCAAGTCACTTTGTCTTAGCAACGCTTCCACTGCTTTCGATAAGGAGGATCTTCTGACTCTTGTATTGCGGGCACTCTCTTGTAAACCGTGTGGAGTTCAGTGTGCCTTGAATTTCTGTTTGGCCATTTTGGAGAATCAAAGACAAGAGAATTTGTCAAAAAAGTCGAATGGAATGGAAATCGAGGCTGGGCGACTCTCAAGTCGTTCTGGCCATGATGAGAGGTCAGTGTGATCTTTTTTTCAATGTTAGCAAGAACTGCAAAAACATTGGTTTTTCTTTTTGAACTTTGGAGAAATCGAGAAAACACTGGAAAGAAGCCAGAGTCGTGACACTCAGACAATTTTCTTCAGATTCAGCAGCAGATTCATACACAGCAACACTTTTTGTTTTTTTCAGTTCAAATTGCCTTCGCCCGTCTGAACTCTTGCTTTTGTTCAATGGTTTTTTGTTGGGATGATCTCTCAGTTGAGTTGCAAGCTTCAGAAAGAGAGAGTTTCGAGAAACCGCCCTGAACTAAAACACAAACAGATCGTTCAGCAAGTGTTTTGGTGAGTGCTGTCAGCCCGGTAAGCTGTCGATTGACCAGAAAGACAGTGAAAAAATTGCAATCGGAACTTAAGAGATCCATAAGAATGTGCATTTTGTGGTTTCGGCTGTTTTTCTGTGTGTGCATGCACAAGAGTGTTGTGGATGTGTGTGTGT